GGTGGCCCTAAGGTTGGAGGTAATGTAAATCCATCTGAAATCTGATGTGCATGCTCCATGCCCTTGATGTGCCACACATGCTTAGAACTTGGGAGGAATGTATTTATTCACGACTGCAGCACGATTGCAGAACTGGAGAGGCTATTGCAACACACAGTAGGACGCTACCTTTTTGAAATGTTTAAAATATTGTATGTTTCTGTTTCCTGTAAAAATATATGTGAATTTGTGTTTTCTTGATGCTATTTATTTTTCAGATGCCATTTTTAAAGGGAGAGATTTAAGGGAGTGTTTTTTTTTGTTTGTGAAAGAACAGAGGAGGTTTTTCATAATTTGGCTATTAATTTTCAGGGTCTATAGCTGTTACAGAAATATTGAATTAGCAATGTGTTTACACATCTAGGTTATAAGTCTTAAATACTCTGACCTTTAAAAAATGATTAAAGATAGTTGATATGGAATCATTTGTTACAATAAGAAATGGGTGGTGGTCAAGTAAAATTGTTCAAAAATGGTTTCTGGTTTAGATAACAATAAATAAGAAAATAGACAAAAACAGGTTTTATGTATTTATATATACTTAGTTTTTTAATTCTATGAGAACAGTTTCTAATATACTGCTTAATCATTAAGTTTTTTAATGAGGTTTTATCATATACTAATTATGAAGCTATGGATACATTTCAAGTGTTAGTTTCTGCTAGTCTTTCTAATGGAATGAACCTATAAGGGTAAATATTAAATACTAAAAAGACAATAATCTTTCTTTTTTTAAGGAAGTACGTTTGTATTTTAGTTGTGCTATTTTTGGGAAACAGATATTTTCTCGTTTATGATAACTGTGGGAAAATCATGATCTTGGATTTTTGTTTTTTCTCTTTTTGTCTATAGTACTTGTACTAAAAGCAAAAAAGGAAAGAAAAACAAACTATACATTTTGACCAGGTTCTGTAAGGGGTTGTATCTCCTTCATTTTTCTATGTAACGAAAAATTTTTTCCAAGTCATATGATACTCTAAATATAGGAAAATTATAAGTATTTTAATTATCTTAAATTATTTTATGTGTCATATAACTGGACAGAGTATAATATATAAAAATATACATATATATTTATAAGTTTTATGTTTATATACATATATACATAAGTATAAACACATAAATAAATGTGAAATAAAAATGTCTTTCTGATTTGTCTGTACATTTCCAGCAGCTTACACTTTAGAATGTTAATTATTTCCTTTTTATCCTGTAATTGTAGGATTATGTTCTCATCTAAATGTTAGTTATGGTAACTTATTACATGATATTTTCTATTATGCATTTCCACATGTCTAGTAAAAAATATATCATATAGTTTCTTCTTTTTGTAACAAATGGCCAACTTCAGTCATTACAAAGAGAGTAATTTTTATTTTTATTTTAAATTTGACTTGGGGGGGTTTCCAGTTTCTGTCTCTCTGTCTCTCTCTCTCTCTGTCTGACGAGCACATGCGCCCTATAGCAAAAACCTCTCCCAAAAAAAAGAGAGAAAGAAAGAAAGAAAGAAAAAGAAAAAAATGGGTGTATGTGCATGCATGCCCAAAATCCCCAGAGGAGAAGGGATTGCAGCGTGGCCACACACAACTCCCCCCCGCCCCCTGGGTGTGATTTCTCGCTTTCTGTCTCTCTGTCTCTCTCTCTCTCTGTCTGACGAGCACATGCGCCCTATAGCAAAAACCTCTCCAAAAAATAAAAAAGAAAAAAAAATTTGACTAGGGGGAGAGAGATAAAGAAAGTGAGAAAGCAAGTCACCAAGTCTAGGATTTGAATCACTGTTGGCCATGTGGGAGTCCAGCGCCCTTAACCACCATGCCACCTGCCAGCCCCACAAAGGGAAAAATTTTCTTGATCTTGAAATACAGAATTCTAATCTATGACTCAGATTGAATATTCCTTATCTGAAATGTCTGGGGTCAGAAGTATTTCAGATTTTGGATTTTTTGGATTTTGAAATATTTGCATATACATAATGAGATACCTTGGGAACAGAACCCAAATCTAAACAATTTATTTATGTTTCATATAGCCTAAAGTTAATTTTACATAATAATTTTTGTATTGTAGTGTTTTGACTGCAACCTGGTCAGGTGTGAAACTTCCCACTTATGGTGTCATATGGCAGCACTCAAAGTTTTGGATTTTGGAGCATTTTGTATTTCAGGTTTTTTGATTAGGGATGTTCTATCAGTGTTATGATAATTTTATAAGACTGTCTTATTTGACTGGAAATGAATTAATATGTGATGGTAGTATTTAACATCGTGACATATTTGGGCAAATGGTTTATACTTAACTGTTTCTTCATGGTTTACTGTCTTGTCTTAGGTAAATTAGACCCTCAATTTTCATCTATCATGTGTCACTTAATCCTGATGTTAATGAAATTGATTAATCACTTTTCTTTAAGGAGAAATTTTCTTACTGTACCCTACCCTCCAAACTATAGTTCGTAGTCATACCAGAGAGAAAAATAGTAGATAGCCTTTATGAATAATTATTAGTCACTAATACAGATTTATCACTTCCATCTAGACAGTGGTTTTTTGATACAAATAAGGAAAAGACCTTTGTTCCTTTCTCATTTTTCTCTTCTATCTTTTTTTTGTTTTTTGGCAATTACAGATTCATTCTTGCTCTTTTGTTTGCCATCACTCATTTAGGTTCACTGCCCATTTTTCTCTCTAAGAAAAGAGGTACGAGCCAGAGAATATTGATATTGCTTCTGAAATTAATGCCATTTTTGGCTGTCAGTCCTTCTTGAAAATTTAGATTGTTTTGGTCTTGCCAGAGATTTATAGATTTTTAAATTAGTTATAGTGAGTTTTCTTGGAGTTACAGAGTTTTTTACTTTGAAGCGACCTTGGGAGTCAATTGATGAGTTATGATACGTGTTCTTCTGGTTACTTTCATAATACTTTTCCAATTATTTTTACACATACAAATATTTTCCTGGTGGGCCAGCAGGTGGTGTGCTGGTTAAGGTGCTGGATTCCTGCATGACTGACCATGGTTAGAGTCCCTGACCTGGCAGCTTGAATATCACAACAAATAAATAGATAAATAAATACTTAAATGTTTTAAAAATGTATGTTGGAAGAGGGACAAAATTGGCAGTATTTATTTATTTATTTAAAATTATTCTATTTAACTTTATTTTATTTTGTCGGGGGGGAGATGAGAGAGAGAGATGAGAGAGAGATGAGAGAGAGGTGAGAAAGCAAGCCGCTAGGTCCAGGATTTGAACCACAGTCAGCCTTGTGGGAGTACAGCACCCTTAACCACCACATCACCTACCAGTCTCGGCAGTATTTATTATATAGCTTTGTGTAACTTTAAAAAAAAATTTATCCCAACCATTTTCCTATCATCTTAAATTGCTACTTGAAAATTATTCTTGAATAACCTCTTAGATAAATAATGATATTCTTAGATAAATAATATCTTGAATAAATAATATTCTTAGATAAATAATATTCTTAGATAAGTTATATCTAGGTTGCCTTTTTTTTTTCCCTGTTACAAACTGCAGTCATTTTATGTTTATCTTTCAGTACATCTCTAACCATTTCGTTGAAATAAATTTCTGAAGTTCTCTGGATCAAAAGATGCAGACATTTTTAGGGGTCTTTCAATTTGGCAAAGTGTCCTTCAGAAAGGTTATAAGCTCGTTTCAGTTCTGGATTAACTTAAAATTTTTTTATGTTGCATTAAAATCAGCCTCTTTGTAATTTATGCAGGAATGATGAAATATTGGTTAACATGATACTTTCCTTTTTAATTGCCAGTGGGGCATGTTTGCTCAACAGAAAGCACTATCTCTATAGTGAGAAAGTACCCTCCCCGCAGTGGGGCGTGTTCATACCACAGTCTTTTTCCTCCATTCCTCCATCCTATCAGGATTTTGGTCACAAACACATATGTGCCCAGTGTGTTTCTCAAGCTGCTGGGGCCAGGATTTCAACCATGGGTGACCCTGTGGGATCCAGCTCCCTCAATTACTGAGCTGTGGAGCTAGGATGCCCAGCATGGTGCTTTCAAATACTTGAAGACTGCCAGGTCTCTGTTTATGACTATGC